GTCATTAATAATACATTTGAATCTGTAATATCACCCATATTTGAATGATAATATTCAACGGCTTCGTTTACAAGCAATGTAATATTATTATCAAGTTCAGCACGCCAACATGGTATTTGCCAATCTTCAAAATATAACATTGAATAAAGATCATCATAAAGAAATATTAAATATGATGATATTGATTTTGATGAAACTTGATCTAAATTAATTACAAATACTGATGAAGGTGATTGATCATCAGCAGGACGTGGTTTTCGTGTATCATCATTTGGCATTATTTGATGATTAACAAATGCTTGACGAAGATTATCACCAAAACCTTGATAACCATTTGTTGTAGTTTTATTTGCACTTATTAAATGAGCATAACCCCAATTATTTCGTGTTGCATCACCACGTATACCAAATGGAATTTGATTATAACTATTCATTGTTAATATAGTTATATCTCCATCGATTCGATTCCAATAAATTTTTTCATTTTTATCATTGATACTTAACATGGGACCTTCTTCAAAATAAATTCGAACATTATGAGTTTTTTGATCTAATGTACGAACATCAAATGTTATATAAGTATAAGGATCTTCAATTGATGTTGGTTGACTAAATGATAAAACAAGTTCAAGCGTATTTGTTGGTGTTGAAAATGTATAAATTGTACGCCATGGTTGTACAACAACACTATTTTGTATTAAAGCTGGAATATTTGATGGTTGAGTACCAAGAAAACGATATACTTGAGAATTGTCAATATCGATTAGACCATGGAAGGCAAGAGGTGATCCACTCCAATGAACAGTATCAGAATCGGTTAGATTGTCCGAAACAGACCAAACTATTTAAAAAAAAAACAAGAATATTTAATAAAGCATAGGAAAATATTATTCTAAAACATTGAAATTTTATGCATCTATTTCATAATATTAAAAAATGTTTCTTTTGATTAAATGAAACTTTTTAAAATATTACTATTGATGATAGACTATTGACTACTATCATATACTATTGGATTTCATTGTTATCTATCAAAAAAATATTTTCCAAAAATTGAAATTAAAGGTACTGTTGGTTGATAGATTTAATTATTATCAGAATGATTCGAAATTTTCTTTTTAAAAATATTCATTGTTTTCAAAAATAAATAGATACAGTTCTTGGTTTAACCCTAACGGCAACCATCAACCTACCTTCTATAATATCACATGTATTGAAGTTGTGATTCATATATCATCTTCTTCTTGTAATCGTCTAATTTCAACCATGTTAGCACAAATATTTTCGTTGGGCCCGTCATTCGAAAGGTCACTGTCGTGACTATCTCTCTAGTTCGAGTTTCGTCAGTATGTTTTTCATAAGAAAAATAACATATATAAATCATAAATCCAGTACATGTGAAATTGATACACGAGAGGTTAGCGTTTGTGATCTAGGTTTATTGTCGCATACATGCACCCAAAATATCAGATCAATATCATAAACATTAGTAGCATAGAGCTGCTATTTTGGCTAACGTCAGAACTATATTTTTTCTAGAATTCTCTTAGTTCATCAAAGCTTACTTTTATTCATAATAGTGATGGGATCAGTTCGTTTTGAGATTTTTTTCGACTCAATTCCATAAAGAACAACACAAACTCTACCTATCTCTGATGCATTACATGAAATTGAATTGCAATCGAAAGCTAATAATATCCCCTTGTTAGATTATTCTATTAATCATGTCAAGAAATTTATTTGTATTGCAAAAGATACTTGTTGTTTATTTTTCAATAAATATTCTATTCTTTTATTATTATATTTATAAATTGTTTGGCTGTATAATACAGTAAGTTTGTTTAGAAAAAAAAACAAATTAAGTCATGAGTTCTTGCGGCATCTGCTTAGTTGAATATTCTCAATATACTTCTTTCTTTCCCTTTCGTTGTGTATTAGTTTTTATTAGTGACAGAACTGTAATCATGACTCACTTTACATTTCAAAAAAAAAGAAAGAACAGACTGATAGTCTTATCAAAAAATCATCAAAGATTACGTTTCGTCGTCTAAATGACACTTGATTCATTGCATCACCTGAGCATTCTTTTTACCTCTTTTTCGGATTGTAAAATGAAGAAAGCAAGAGATTTGAGTATATAAAATAATTTACGCATAAAAATGTGAGGCCAAATAGCTTATTTTGATAGTTCTTTCGTGATACACTTTTTCGTCTTTTTTTTTGTATCTTATATAATATCCGAGTGTGACTCACCCGATATATGAGGACTAAATACGATTAATGGTACGGCTGGAGGACGAAAATCGCTCGAATCACCATTGCTATTAGTAATGAAAACGACGAGAAGAAATGCAAATAATCGTTGCATACTGAATAGATGAGACATGATATGATATCTAAAAATAAACACGTACTACTTCTAAACTAAAATATTCTGACGACGGCGAAAGAAAAAAAAAGTAAAGTAATAGTTAATATCTTTTCTCTTTTCAATATTTCTGCTTCGAAAGGTGTCACTTCTTTCGTGTCTTACGAACTTTTATTTTTTTATTACAGATATTCAATTAGTTCATCTTTCTCATTGAAGATTTGTGTCATTTTTTAATCTATGTCTAAACGTTTACTAGGTATGTTTTAATATGTTAATATTTTTCAATTATACTCTATTTAATAGTACAACCTAGTATATTACCCGTGGATCAATTATTACAAGATTATTGTAATTCACCTTCTTTTGTAATCAATAATGTACGAAAAATAGTATTTTCACCATGTTCTGAATATTTGGCTATACCAAAACAAGATATTGATGGTCAATATTGTGTGCTTGTTATTCATTGTTCGAATTGGCATTCAAACAATCTTACAAATAGTGATTTATGTATACACAATCAATTTACTTGTACATCAGCAATATGGTCATTAGCATTTGGTCAAAGAACATCAAAATTGAATTCTGTAACGAACTCAATTTTAAGTGATAGAGATCATTTATCTATGCTAACAGCACGACGTGATTCATTTGGTCGACGATATTCATTTGGTCGACGAGATTCACTTGGTGGAGGACGTCGTTCAAGTTTTTCAGTTGTTAATCGTCGATATGATTTTACCAAAAATTTATTTCTAGCTGCTGGTCTTGCCGATGGAAAAATAAATATTTGGAATGTTGCTACTGGCGAATTAACATTAATACTTAAAGATCATCAATTACCTGTATGTGGATTAGATTTTACAGCGTGTACCATGCAATTAGCATCATGTTCACATGATACGACTATTAAATTATGGGATTTACTTGATGATGGTAAGAAAAAAATAAATAACTCATATAATAAAAATTAAATGTTGGAAAGTCTTCTTATTTGTGTTTTTTTTTTACTCAATTTAATTATTAATTCCAAATGTAGAACTTTTTTTTATTAATACTTCAATTTTGTCCAGAAAATATAGCTTTACGAAATCTATTAGTACAATTTATAGTATCAAAATTTAAAAGAATTGTTGTTTCACTCGAGGAGAACAACATTCGTTAATTTTAACATCGGTTTTAAAGAGTATAAAACAGTCTACAATGATTAATATTTATAGGAGTAAAAATTTCGATTATATTTGGTTCATATCTAGGTCACAGAAAAAAAAATATTTGCCAGTATAATAAATATTGAATCTGTTTATTTACATGTTTCAAATTCTCTATTATCACTAACTCCATTAGTTATTCCTTACTTAGAATTAAACTTTGATCTCACCTTAAAAACATTTTTGACATGGTTAGTTTTTAAGTTATATCATTATTTATTTTTATTTTTATTTACTTTTTTTTTGATAAATAATCAGTATTCATTTTACCTGTTTCATTTTAAATTGTTCTAATAGTGACATCTGTCTGAATGTCCGTTTTTTTTAATTTTCTAATCTCAGGTAATATGTATACAACATTAAATGAATGGACTCATGCAATCAATACAGTAAAATGGTCACCAGATGAAACACTTTTATGTGCTGTAGGTCCATATGAACTAGTTGTATTATTTGATACAGCAACATGGACAAAATTATTTGATTTAGATGGACATTTACATACTGTTGTTGATTGTGCATTTTCATCGGATAGGTATTATTTAATATATTTTTTTTCTTATTTCTTATTATTTTTTTTCTCTTTAATTCAGTGCCTTATTAGTAACTGCTTCTCATGATACACGTGTTTTAATGTGGTCAACAACAACTGGTGAAATTATAAAGTCATTCGCACATCAAGTTCCAATACCATTAAAAATTTATGCTGGTGGTGATAATGGGGCATTTGTTCGATCTGTTGCTATTACAAAATTTAATCATTTTCTAATTACTGCTTGTGATGATAAGTAAGAATGTGAGATAGGTGTTTAAGAAAAAATATAATTTTCATCTTTTTAGCAAAGTACGTTGGTTTCCTTTAGTATTAAATGATTCATCGAAACCGATATTTGAACAAACAGAAAGCAATGTTTTTTGCGTTGCAACAACACCTGATAGTCATACTATGGCTATAAGTAATCGTAATGGTGATGTTCATCTTTTTTCAACACTTTCAACATTATTCACAAGTCAACCATTATCATTAAAATGTTTATGTCGATTAGCAATAAATACTTATTGTGGTATTAAACGAAAAGATATTGTAAAGTTGCCTATATCATGTGTTTTGGTTAATTATCTTTTATATAGAGATATTAAAATGAAATGAACAAGACAAATCATACTTATGATGTTTTTGCTTCTTTTTTTTTGCTTGTGTACATAAATTTTCGGCATAAATTTATGTTTTGTTTTCTGTCATGTTTTCTCTTTTAATATAGTGAGACAATATGAATGATTGTGTTTCTCAAACATGATAAACTTATTTATAATAAAAAAGTAACCAATGTTTTTAAGAGATTCTAAAAAGTCTTAATGATGCTTCTGTTATTATCACAGAAGGTATAACAGGGCCTTTTGTCTTATTAGTTATTTGTTTAGGTGCCTGGATACACATACGGCAGCAGGAGAATAATATGTATGTAATTGATAGAAAAAAATAGCCAATATGCAAAACGATATAATGTTGGATGACAATAATCATATCGATCTGGATTTTCATATTGAATTTTATTCCATGCACGAAATACCCAAATGCATCTCGCAATAGACCAACCAACGAGAAATATGATAAGACCGCTAATAACTATTAACAGACCACACATACCACAACAAGCTCCACAATGAGACGCTCGAACAGTAGTATCATCTAACATGGATTTAGCATGAGATGCCAAAAAATCTAAAACCGCATTTAATATAATAAGAATAAGTCCAATAACACCTGATACAACTAAATAATGTGGTATATGCCAATTAAAAGGGCATTTGTTTGCATAATGCCAACCAACAATTAATTGTAAAACTGTAAAATACGATAAAATACCAAAATCATAAATTTATCTAATTTTTTTTCTATGCCTAGTGTTAGAAAATCGATAATAAGTATACAAAAAAGTCTTCTTGATTTAAATATATAAAAATATAGAATCCAATTTTTTTGTAAAATATTATGAGGATAGTAATCAAAAAAAGCATATGACTTACGTGAAATGATCATAATAACAACAGTAACAAGTGGTATAGCTAATTTAAAAGACTTTTTAGTTGATGCCTTTTTTACTAACACCACGGGTTAGTAATTGATCTGATTCTGGCATTTTCTCATTTTTTACATCGTTGACAATAAGATTATCTACTTCTACTGGTTTAGACGTTGTTGCATCCGTTTCAGCAACTTTTTCTACTGATGCTACTGGTGAGTTTATTGACTCATTGACAACAACTGTTTCAAGTGGTACTTGTTGTGAATTTATTGGTTCACTGACCACAACAGTATTTTCTACGATTGGTTTTTGTTTCATATTAATAACTGTTTGTTCAGTAGTACTTGTCATTGTCTTACAGTACTTAAAAAATTCTACTTATGAATATAAACTAAAAGATCAGTGTTTAAAAATAGTCTATTAGTTTTGTACAATAATCAATTCTTGTATCATTTATACAAAAAAACATAATAAGCTTTTTAATATTCTGTACTTCATAAATTGTTTTTCGTTTCTTTTTCTTCTTTTTCATCTATATACAACCAAGGTCATCTACGTTTATGTTTACTTGCATTGTAACGACGAGTATATTGCTGCGGTCGCAATTTATGCATTGCATCTTTCTTTTTTTTTTCACCTTTTTTTTTGAATGTCTTACTAGAAATTGTATGTCTATAGTCATTATGAATAGCATAAAGAGTAGTTGAATGTACTTCTTATGCATACAAAATACAACAAACTATCCCATATTGTAATCAATTGATTCAATGTAGAATAAATCTACAAAAAGAAATATTTGCTATTCAGACTTGTTAAACAATTTTGATTGTATTTTATATGATTTATAATACAGAAATAGAAATAGTTAATTGTTAGGAAAAGCTACACTTTGAATAGAAATGTTATTTATTGTTGTGAATAGAAATTAAATTTTAATCATTATGTAAAAGTTCAGAATAATCAGAGTCAATTAAATTTGTTTCATTTTTCGTCTTATTATTTTTTAAAAGTTGAAGAATAATACTATAAGATCGAAGAAGTATTTCTCGTTCTCGTTCCATTTTTTTAATATATTGTTGAAGTTCATCGATTATAATTGCTTCTGATTTAAACGTAGCATGTTGTGTACTATTTTCAGTATTAATAATTGATAAAGGACCAACAGAATTCATCATAGTTCGAGGAAGAATTGATGTTGAATGTTGTGAATTAACTAATGATAGAGTGGGTAATTCACTGACAAGCATTGAATGTAAACGATCGATTCGATCGAGTAAATCTTGTGTTGGTGATGACGACATTTCATATATTCAAATAGCGAAAATGATGATAGAGAATAGAAAACAAAATATTCATAGAAAGAAAGGAATAAAGATTGACTGAATATATGTTTATATGTGTACGATCTATTTTTTTAACCATTCATTCATTGATTTCAATTACGCATATTTCGTCTTTGAATCTGTATCGAAATCAAAATAGAATACTTGATAAATATTTAATGCCAATTAAAATCATTATCTATCGTCGCATGATAAACAATTTAAATAAAAATTTTTATTGAATAAATATATTCGGTGAACTGTATGAATCATCTTTTCATCGAGTAAATATATAAAAATATGCTTCGAATACAATCAAGATTTGATTGCGTTCACAGTTTAGTTTTATCAACAATTTTTTTATTTAGTTTTTGAGTTGATAATAAAAGTTTAATAATATTTATATTTACAGTTTGTCCAAAATAAAAAAAGAAAGAAGAAGTCAACTACAAATAAAAAGTCGAATTTTTCAAGATGTTTTAGTGTATTCTGGTATTCGAGCATCTTTCATGACATTATTCCTAAATGTACTTTCAAATATGAATAACCACATGCTAAAATTTGGGAAAAGAAAGCACCTAAAAGTAACCAAAATGCAAAACGATAAAGAACCCGATGACAATAATCTTTTTGAGTTGCATCAACATATTGTACAGTATTCCATGAACGAAATATCCAATAACATCCGAAAACAAACCAAACGAAGAGAAATAATAAAAGTATGCTTGCAAGACATGTAACACACATAGCACTAATCGTAGCAGCCACATTAGATTTTTCTCTAGCACGATTGACAAAAACTTTAGCTTTTAAAAAAGCTTGAATAATACCTAAAAGTATAACAACAAGTGCAGCAGCACCTGCTACAACTAAATAAATTGGAATACGCCAATCAAGTGGACAACTATTTGCATATCGACGTCCAATATATATTTCAAGAACTATAAAAAAAAAGACAAAACAAATCAGTTGTTAATTATAAAATATTACTGATTATAATCATATATTTTACTTGGTATAATAGCAATGATAATCAAAAGAATTAATGTCACAATTAGGTCAGTATGACTTGTTTTTGGTGATGTTTGTGTTTGATGTGTTGTCGAGATATTTAAAGATTTTTCATTTGTTTCATTTAAATATTCATGTTCCGATAATTCAACTGTTACTTGTTGATTGTTAGTCATTGTCTTACTTATGCGTTATGACTTCTTACATTTAAATACCAATCTATCGTGAAATCAATCAAGCATGGAAATATCCAACATATATGCACATATACGCAATGATGTCTATTAAGAAACATATGAATAAATATTTTTTATATATAAAAAGAAGTATTATTAAAACAAGCAATGTTTATACTATTTCATCGAACCTTGTGATAATCGATACTTTATTTATATAAAAGCACACTGACAGTTTTTTTTTTGTTTTTGTTTTTTGATTTAGATTTATTTCGACATAATTTGATTTTTTTGATAGCATTTTAGTTGTGATTGTTTTTAGCTACTAAAAGCTGTCATCTAATGACAAGATAAATTGAAGGTTAATATTATTTATATGATTTTAGAAATATATAAATATACTGTATATTTTTCCTTGCTATTCAATATGTAAATTTTTTTCTTATTTTCCGACTAATAGAATATTCCACAATTGACATGTAGTCAATATTGAATTCGACTTTCTGATCATAAATTCAATAATGTTAGATATTCAGTAACGTTAACCAATAAATCATTATCAAATCTATTTTATATTTTTATAGTGTCTAAAATATACGTATTGAAATGTATTTTTATAAAACTATTATAATTTATTTTAAATTAAAGATGATATTGTGTCACTTAGTTTTATAAACACACGTGAAAGCTTATGATATACATAATTAGTATCACGAACTCAACATGATATGCACTATAGGAATATTCAATGAATAGAATTTTCTATGTCTACATATGGTTATTTGTTGTTCATTAAGTCTATGCTTGCATAATTTTTCCAATCATTAATTGTTCCATGAAAATATTCAATTATTCATTTTATTAATATATATTGACTTGTTGTCTAATAGTATTTGATCGAAAAACTATTTTGGATGTTTATATTGTTTAAATAAATTCATTAGTACAAAAAAGTATTCTTTTGTTTGATCAGTTTAAAATGCAAATATATTTTATGAACGTATTACCGATTTATTTTCTATTGAAAAATCATTAGAATCAGGTAAAACATGAATAAGACGAGATGAAATTTAACTAAAATATTTTTCAAAATTAGAAAATTCATATTCATTAATAGGCGTATGAGTTATCGTTAAGACAGATTTATAATACTGGTTGTAATCATTCATTCAACACTCAGGTATGGTTTTATGTATTTCAAGACTAAATGTACGATGTTCTTTTGTGAAAGTAAAACAATGTTTAAATCTTGAACGTAAATGTCTTAGTTAATTCTTATTGTTGATAATGATTATATTCCTTGTTCATCATTAAATAAGATTCATGTTGGTTACACTTTTTTTTTGAATAATTCTTAAAGAAAAGATAGTTATTACCAAATATACCGTTTTTGTTTCTTCATGATCAATATGATAAGGATCATTGCTTTAATATTCATAATTGAAATGTTAATGCACTAATTCAAGCATAGTTAAGAAAGAGACATACAAGTTTAGGCATAATAAAAGTATGTTCTTCAATTCATTTTCATGTCAATCGTGTATAATATAATGACATTGGTTGATTTTAAACGATGAATTATTTTTGTATTGTGCAATAAAAATCAATTATTATTCAATTATAAGTTTTTTTTCTAAGTAATTTTGAAATAATTATATTTGTCTTGAATTCAAAATTATTTTCATCTCAAAAACTAGATAAATGTTAAATTGGAAAATCTTTCAATATGGAGCGTACTGTTTGATCACTTTGACAATTAAATTATGTAAAAATGATCTATATTGTATAAAAAATTGTACTATGTCAAAATTGAGACGTAGAAGTTCATCAGTAATCAAATTTGTTTTAGAAATTGCATTACTAATTTTAGTTCAATTTTTATATTTTGCATATACATTTGTCCAGTTTTCAATTATAAATGAAAAAAGCTAGGACTGATGTAAATTGCATTTTATACAATTATCGTGGTCTATTTATCATAAAAAAAATTATTTTAACAGTATTATTATTATGTATAAGAACAATTCTGAAAATTAGTCAATGTCATTCACATTTGCATCTATTCTGACGCCCACACATCCGCATCCTCAGACAAGGCCAATCCCACTACTGAACGTGAGCAGAATAGATAACAAAAACTATTAGTGTGGCTCAAACCAAAGAATAAGTGAAAATTTGAGTGTCTGATGATAAGAACTACACTGGCAATCTCAACCATCCATACATCCACACGTAAACCCACAATAGGCGAGCTAGTTTCCTGATTGCATTGTTCCTCAAAAGAAAATTGATGCATTAATACTTTTTGAGCAGTCTGAATCTTAATATGTATCATAGATTCTTAACAAAGAAAGCGTATGTTGATAGAAAGTCTATGAATAGATAAGTATTTAAAAAATATTCGTAAAAGATGAGTAGACGAGCGATAAAAACATGCGATAGTCATGCAGAAAACAGTGAAATAACGTTTATTTTGGAAAATTTCTGACGTGACAGTAGAACTAGAAAATATCACCTCTATCAAAGCATTAGGTCACTATAATATCAATGGACAAAAAAGGCACATAGCAAGGTTTCGTCAAATCTTCTAGTTGAAAGCAAATGGACAATAGATGTAAATTTGAAAGAGACTAACAAAAGTTTTTATAGAATTATTATTGTAAGGTGTCATGTAGAGGTGAAAAGTACGCATATAAGTCGACATTCTTCACTCTTACAATCTTTCTTACGCGTGCTTCTGTATATCGGACACTAAATAGTCGAAGGTCTTGGATATTGAAACAATATTTCAATTATCGGTTAGCGAAAACCACAAACTACGTAATTATTTTACAATGATTTA